CCTAAACCCTAAAACCCTAAATTAAAGGAGCAGCCAAGCTGTGATCAGAGAAATCCGGAGCCCCCGAGAGGCTCAGACGGACCCGGGACCGAAGCGCCCAAAATGCGAATTGATATAGAAGCCTAGGGTTTAGGGTTTAGGGTTTAGGGTTTAGGGTTTAGGGTTTAGGGTTATGCTTTGACTATGAAGGAGCCCAGAACCCAATTCTAATTAGTGAGGAGGCCCCTACATTCGCCCGAAACTCGAACCCTGAATCCAACAGCCCACGCCCTCGACCCCAACGCTGCTGCGTGACAGGCCAACTTCGAAAAGATTTGGACGCATGGCAGGGGTTTAGGGTTTAGGGAGCTATGGTTTATTCGTGTTTCCTTTGCAAGGCTTTCATTCAGTAGACACAGGCTGCTTCTTTTAAGACTTAGGTTTTGCGGCTTTGGGTTTAATCCTGGGCTTAATTAGTTTGTGTCTCTTTGGTTATTGTTAACCCTAAACCCTAAACCCGAAACCGTGGTGTTGATTCTGATTGTCGGCTCAGGCAGTCCGCAACCCTTTGCTTGAGTCGACTTTCCTGGGTCCTCAGCAGCCCAGGGTCAACAGCACCACAAATGAAAGTAAAGGGTTTAGGAAGTTTAGGGTTTAGGTTAGGGGTTGAGGCTTTAGGGTTTGTTTAGGGTTTTTGTCAGGGTTTAGGGGTTTCGGGGTTTATTTAGGGTTTAGGGTTCAGGGTATAGGGAAGGGAGCCCCACTTTAGAGAAGCCTCCATGGTATCAGTCGACGACATGCCCCAGCATCAGGTAGCTATGGCTGTAGCTACTTCCACCGCCAGGTAAGTTGCTTAAAGCATATTGAAAATGTTTAGGGCTGAAGTTCAGCGGTAAACTGTAGCTATCCCTGGACTTTCAGGCAAAGTTTTGAAGTTCTCACAATCGGCAGTGCTTCTTGTGGATTTGAGGTGCTTGGGCTGCCGAGCTCAACATAACTTGAGTTTAGGGGTTTAATCTTTAGGGTTAGCTTCGAGGGACAATTCACTTCACAACAGCTGTATGAAAGGAGGAAATATCGATTAGGGCCAGCCAAATACACCTACACTGTTGCTGCGACTACGACCACTTCAAACAAACGAAGGCTAAGCTAACATCCCTGAAAGCTCCTTGTGAAAATCAGCGCCGAGGAATATGTGCAAGACGGCCAGCCCTTCCCTGATGGACGTACCGGACCCGGTTCACTTGGGTTTTCTGCTTTTAGGATTTAAGGATGTAGGGTTTGGGATTCAGGGCTTTCGGGTTTCGGGGTTGAAGTTGCAGGTAGACTGATTCTCATAAGAGTTTTAAGGCTTAGCGCACTGCCTGGCCCTTCTCAAGCGTTCGAAACCTTAAGGCACTAAAACCTACACTAAACCGGGTCTCCCAGGTTTCTGGGTTCTTATAATCTAATAGCAATCTGAACCCTAAACCCTAAACCCTAAACCCTAAACCCTAAACCCTAAACCCTAAACCCTTGGGGGGTAAGATACCGAAAAAGGAGCCCGTTTCATGCTTAGGCCACTGGGGGATCCTGGGAGATTGTCTCCCTAAGTCCCCTAAAACCGAAGCCTTAAACAGAGGAGCTCAAACAAGGGTTTAGGGTTTAGGGTTTAGGGTTTAGGGTTTAGGGTCTACTCTAATAAGGAAGCCCCATTAGACGCTACGTATTTCCATTATGGTGAAATTGACTGAAGGGCTCTGAGCAGCGTGGGAGCGGTCGAGCAAGAGCCAGTCTATCATGACTTAGACCTTTCGCCACCAGCCGTGAAGAGGATGTGACACAATATTGGGGCCTTAATAAGTAGAATAGGGTTTGGGGGGCCGATCATACTGATAATAAGGGACCCCGAAGATAGTATTGAAAAGTATTTAGGCCCCTATATTAAGGGTTATGGTAGGGTGTGAGGTTTTCTGGTTAGGGGTACTTTGTCTCTCCACTCCACTCTAAGCCCGCACTCCTGAGCCGCGAGATCCTTCTAGAGTCAGAAGTATAAACCATGGACTCGAAACCCTAAACCCTAAACCCTAAACCCTAAACCTTTAAGGGCCGGGTTTAGGGTCAACTGGGGCCTGGGGCTCGAAACCAACAACCCGAACTGTTGAACACAGCCCCTGAAGCCCTAAACCCTAGGGTTTAGGGTTTAGGGTTTAGAAAACGGCCCGCTGCTAAACCAAAAAGAACTCATTAGACCCTATGTCCTGAAGCTAGACTCTGCGAGCTGTCCTCAAGGCCTACAGAATCATGGTAGAACCCTGGTGGTTTAGGGTACATAGGACATAGGGGTTTAGGGTTTAAGGTCTAGGGCTTAGGGTTTAGGTAGCTTAAAGTGGTCGCGTATCTGTAGAACGCTTATCGCTGAAAGCCTTCTCTACTTGGAGGATCATGGGACTTAGTAAGTAAGGTTATAAGTCCCTTAATTGGGGTTATAAGTAAATATAAGTATAGTTACCTTAATTATAGCCCTACTTACTAAGTCCCATGATCCTCTAAGTACGCGAAACCTGGTGGTCGCCCAAGGCCATGATCACCTTCTCCGCCCGCAGCTTCTGCACCTCCGAAGCGGCTGCCGAAGTGGAAAAGTTACCCGGGTCTTGAGCTGTGTGAAGAGGGGGTCTAGGGGTTTAGGGTTTAGGGAGGGTGTATCAATCCCTGGGTGAAAAACTCCTTTATCTTGAAAGGGCTGATGGGAATCCTCTAGGCAGTGACAGAGAGGGTGCTTAGTCCTCAAGCGTCTACAGTAGGGAGGTTAGGACCAGGGTTCACATTTGGGGTCAGCCCTTTTTGAAGTTGGGATATCCGAGCTTAGGATTTCAGATGAGTTCTCTCCGGGTTTTGCTGCAGGGTAGCTGTGCCATGAGATTCATGTAGGGGCTTAAATAAGTTCCTGTACTATTCTGGGTGGTTCCTTAGGATAATTTATAGTATCGTATACCCCGAAACCCTATTCTTCTTTTTTGAGGCCCCTAATATAGAACCTTATCATAGATCCCTTGTAGAGCCCATCAAGTAATTTTTAAGGTCCCTAATATAGAACCCTATCGTGGATCCCTTATAGGACCCTTTAAGAATTCCCCATAGAACCCTTTAAGAATTCCCCTCGAAAGGAACCGTATACCCTAAAACCCTATTCTAATCTCTTAAGGCCCCTATACCCAAACACCCTGATCGTAGCCCTTATAGAACCCTTTAAGGAACCATTTATAGTATACTTTAAGGCCCCTAATCAATATAGAACCCTATCATAGATCCCTTATAGAACCCTTCAAGGAACCATTTATAGTATACCCCAAAACCCTAAACCCTAAACCCTAAACCCACAACCCTAAACCCTAAACCCTAAACCCAAAACCCTAAACCCTAAACCCTAAACCCTATTCTATGTTTTTAAGGCGGCTTTGGGATTGGAGGGCAGCGGACTGGAGGTTCCGGATCTCCAGAGTGCTAGGAGAGGAACCTGCCCAGTGGGTTTAGGGTTTAGGGTTTAGGGTTTAGGGAGATTACAAGTGCTTCCATCACGTTTAGGTTATAAGTAGGGTTTGGGGTTTAGGATGTAAGGTTTGAGATCACATTTAGGTCATAAGTAGGGTTTGGGGTTTAGGATGTAGGGTTTGAGATTACAAGTGCTTCCATCACCTTTAGGTTATAAGTAGGGTTTGGGGTTCAGGATGCTTCATCACATTCAGGTTATAAGTAGGGTTTGGGGTCTAGGATGCTTCCATCACATTTAGGTTATAAGTAGGGTTTAGGGTTTAGGATGTAGGGTTTGAGGGTAGCTCTTGCTCTAAATTCTGCAAAGCGCCTCTTTACAGCCCTTCTGAAACCCTATACTTTCTAAATCCCATGATCCTTTACGTAGGGTTGGGCGGCAGGCTTCGAACAACAGTGGGAATGCGAGGTTCGATGGGTTGTCGGCGAAAGGCGAAGAAGGTTCGAGGTATTGGGTTTCAGGTTTAGGGTTTAGGGTTTGGGGTTTAGGGTTTAGGGTTTAGGGTTTAGGGTTTGGGGTTTAGGGTTTAAGGCTGGGAGGGTTGGAGTTGGGGTTTCAGAATCACGGTGGGCCCAGAGTTGTGAGCGTTGGGGTTGAGGGTTGAGGGTTCAGTCCGCGGCCCTACAGCCGGAGACCCAAACCCTAAACCCTAAACCCTAAACCCTAAACCCTAAACCCTAAACCTGTTCATAAACTCTGGGGAGATCAGC